TGGCCAGCCTGGGTGAGTGGCTGATGGCTGTTTTCAGGCTGGCCACAGCCCCTTCAGGGTGGGGGTCCCCGCTGGGGTCCCTGGCCAGCCTGGGTGAGGGGCTAAGGGCCATTTTCAGACTGGCCACATCCCCTTCAGGGTGGGGCATCCTTCTGGGGTGCCTGGCCAGTCTGGGTGAAGGGTTGATGGCTGTTTGCAGGCTGGCCAAGCCCCCCAGTGGGAAGCCTCACCCCATTAGGGTGTGCCCAGCCTAGGTGAGGGGCTGATGGCTGTTTGCAGGCTGGCCACAGCCCCCTGCCATCAAAGCTCCCAGTGGAGGCTGGCTGGAAGTAGGTATCTGGGATTTATTTATCTTCTATAATTGAAAGTTTGTTGCCTTGAGTGGAGGCCACAGCTGGCCAGGGCAGGTGGGAAGCTTGGCTTCCTCCATCGCTGGGGCAACCAAGCCTCCTGCTTGTTCCAGCTCTGTGGCTGCCGACCGCCATCTTGGTTGGGTTAATTTGCATATAGTCGCTCTGATTGGCTGGTGGGCGTGGCTTCGGCGTAGCGGAGGCGTGGTCAATTTGCATGTTTCTCTTTTATTAGATTAGATAAGATTAAGCTTTTTCATATAAGCAAGGAGAAAATTCAGCCACTTCCATGTGTTTTTTTTTCCAATTAATCCTTCTATCCCACTCTCACTTTATAAATAAGACAAAATGAAAGGTGTCACTCTTGAAGCTTCCCTTCCAACTGCATCATGTAAGAACTCCTGTGAGTTGTGTGGACCAGAGGTGTATGGATGATGGGAGAGTCCTACCACCCTGTCTCTCTGCCTTCCCAGTATAGAAGACTGGTCATATAGGGCCCAACAGGAGCAGTCTGCTTGACCTTTCACAGCTGTAGCTCTTAAAGCTCAGCTATATCAGTTCATGTAACAGATACCCATAGGCCCACTATTTCCCCTGGTGACCAGGGACACACCTTCTTTCCTCCCTGAATTTTCACCAACAGGGAACAGAAAGTTTTTTCTTTTAAACTCTCAAAAGATAAAAGCTCTGAATGAATCTCTGGCCAGTGGCACTGTTCACACATCCTTTCAAGAAAACTATCTTTGGTGAATCTAGGAGGCTTTTGACCATCCTTCAAAGTACCTACACCTTTTTTAAAAAATGGGGTAGATGTGTAATAGGAATGACCTAATGAACTTAAGGTGAATGTCCGTCACTATCTCATGAGAGAAGAGAAAAGGGACTCATTTATATTTACAAAATAACTAGCATCATGTCTTAGGTGAACTTGAGTGTCACTAATTTTTTAAGGCTTTCTGATTTTTTGTTCACATAGTGCTCCAATCTTTATATTTATTTTGAGGAATATCATTTATTTTTGTTTATAATTGATCTCTATAATTTATGTAAATTGAAAATAAATCCAGATGTTAATTTATTGATTTTTAATGAAGAATATAAGCTATTGTGTTTCAGCAGGTCCAGTGTAATTGCTGTGTGCTATAAGACCCAACTGGAAATTGGCCATTAAGTTTGGTAAAATAGAAATAACTAGTGAGCACTGGATTCAGTGAGTTTAGATGCAACTTTCAAGGAATTTTTAAATAAATGGAAACAGAAGTTTGACAAGTGACAATAGGTATAGATTCATTGGAAGGATTTCCTAAAATATGAATGATGGCATATTTTATTCTGGTAATAATCTAAAAGAGTTGGGAAATGTAATGATCCTGAAAATGGTTCAATTTGGGGAGTGATAATAATTTCATGTAATTGCACAATGACATATACTGTTGTGAAGGAAAAACACAGGGTTCCTCATCCCAAGTGTTTTTAAATTTTATGTTTTTCCCCCTATAGAGACAGTGTATTATTTAAAAATCATATTTAAGACAAATGTCAGTACTTTGATGCCTATAAAAAAGGAACTCAGTCTTTGTGAAATAGTGTGGGTAGGGAAAAAGGTTTTGATAGGATGGCATGAGGTCTGGACTCTCTCTCTCTCTCTCTCTCTCTCTCTCTGGCACTAAGCAGCTGGCTGTGTCCCTCCCCTGGCTAAGCCAGTTAACTTGAGTCTCAGTGTCCTTATCCACAGCGTGTTGAACAGGGCCTATTACAAGAGTCTTCTTTTCTGGTTGACAGTGCATGAAGAGATGGGTACTTTTTTTTTTTTTTAATTTACTCAATTAGTTTACAAGCTCCTTGAGACTAAAATCACGTATGTCTTGTATCTCCCAGAATTCTACTTTTTAAATAATTCTTTATCCCTAAGATTTTGGCTTTGAATAAACACTTCCTTTAAAGTATAAATAAGTAAAACAGCTGAGAGAGGAGCCCTCTGCGTCTCCCAGTCCCCACCCTTGGGCTCTGCCTGCTTATCCCTGGGGCAGTGCCTCGTACTTTGAAAACCACTAATCTTTCAGGTTTTCATTACACTGACACATTTATGATTCACCAACACAGTAATCCCACATGAACAAGGAAATCCCCTTTTTGAATTCTCTGTGTAATTTCCTTCTACATAATTTTCCTCTACAAAGAGAATTTCAAATTTCTATATATTTCTAGTCATTCTTGATGGGGATAATTAGCAAAAGAGGGAACTGGGTTTTGGGGAAGAATGGGAGGTTAAAGAGATGGCAGTACTACATAGAAGTTGCTTGTGATGTAACTTTGGGGGAGAGAAAAGCATCTATGTGAAGAGAGAACCTCAAAAGCAGTAAGAGGGACTGACCAGGCCAGATCAGAGGGTGGTGAGAGCTCTCACAGCATGACATTGAGTCAGGGCTGCTTAGTCTTTAAATATCCAGACAGGGTCTGGGCGTAGGTGAAAAAACAATCCTGGATACATACAAGAGTTTGTATACACAAGAGACAAATTACACTTTGTTTCAAGGATAACAGCAAGACCCAGTAAACAAGAGCAGAAGGTGAGTCATAAGAATGGATGGGGTATCTGAGACAGAGGGAAGACGCCTCTGAGCATGTATAATATCCAAAATAAATCAAAATTAATATGCATACATTTCATTGAAATTACAGAAGACTGAGGACCTAATGAATTTTTAATAAACAAAAAAAATGTAAAGATTGGAAATTAATTGTATGGTACCCATTACTATTAATGAAGCATGGATATTCCATTTAGTTGCTGTGCTCTTTTAATTTTAGAGGATGTAAAACATTTTAAGGGCTTTCATACTATCACTTACACCATCAGCTTGTTTACCCTCCTTTTTCAATAAGACTTTCAATTGCAAATTCTCTTACCTTAGGGATTTTTCAGGAGCATAATCCCAATAGTTGGGAAGAAATACAGTCTCAATCTTTTAAAAAAATATATATATAATATTAAGTGTCATAAATTTTGTCCTTTAATGTTTTACAGAAATAAAGACCCACGTCAATGGATTGCTACTTTTGGTACGACTATTAATCCACCCGCAGTGGAACGAAATGTGGGGAAAATCATCCTTCATGAAAATTACCATAGAGAAACAAATGAAAATGACATTGCCCTGGCTCAGCTTACCACCCGAGTTGAGTTTTCAAATGTAGTCCAGAGAGTTTGCCTCCCAGATTCATCTATAAAGTTGCCACCTAAAACAAGTGTTTTTGTCACAGGGTTTGGATCCATTGTAGACGACGGTGAGTAGTTCAAAATAATTTACCAGTATAAGTATGTCTTAAACTCTAAACAAGATGGCTTAGGGAATCCTCTTTAGATTTTTCCTAAAAATAATGCTGATGCTTCTAATGTACATGATCCCAAGGAGATCAGGGCGACTGTGGGTTAAAAAGTAAAAGGAATCAGGTCCCTATCCTTGAGTTCACAATTAATTGAAGCAGTGGTAAGAAAGGGGAGAAGCTAATATGGAAGGAAAGAACAGTGTTTTAGGTGCTATAAAATGAGACAAACTTGGGAGTAAATGATTCTAAATTGTATATTTCACATATGTAAGCACTGCTGGTTAGCATATACTTCACACCACAATTTTATGATACTTTGTCTTCTTTTTCTTTTTTTTTTGTCTAAATTCTTCCTTGTGCTAATGAGGATTTATGGTATTAATAAATATGAAAGTGTTTTGTGAATTTTCATTTTGGTTAATTAATAGAATCTGCATTTTTTTCCTGTGTCCCACTTCTTAGGAGGTTTAAAAAATATAAATTCTAAAATTTTATAAACTGGAGATCAGAACTAGGTACTAGTTCATTCCACTTTAAAGAGAGAGAGTAATTAAATTAGCCAGGCTAGTGTGGCTAGGTGATTTAGTGTTGACCTATGAACTAGGAGGCCACAGTTCAATTCCTGGTCAGGTTCAGGGCACATGTACAGGGTTGCAGGTTGAATCACTGGTTGGAGGGCATGTGGGAAGCAGCCAATCAATGATTCTCTCTCATCATTGATGTTTCTATCTCTCTCTCCCTCTCCCTTCCTCTCTGAAATCAATAAAAATTTATTTTAAAAATATAGATTAATTAAATATTTTAAAGTGGGAAATAAGAAATGTTTAAGGTTATATCAAGGATATGCTGAAGAAACTAGGAGACAAACGTGAATATTTCTTAACTGGGCTTTTATTTGTTTATTTTTTTTTTGACAGAAGTTGATTATGCGTAAGATTTCCCAAATGCAGTATGCACCTCCAACTTGACTTTGTGAAAGGTTATTCTCCTCTTGCTAGCTCAGGGCTACTCACCCACAGCTTCACTCAGGAGTCCTGAGCTATTTCCTTTCCCTTCCTGTGCTCACTTGTGCAGTATTCTCTCCTGCTACCTCCTGGCCCTGCTGTGCTGGCATCTGATTGCTAGCATGGACCGGACATCTGTCCTGTTTCCCACCCTTCAGGATGTTCCTAAATAACACACTACAGCAGAGAGTAGGGCAAAGGGCTCTGTGCAGCTCATATCCTGGTCTCCACTTGAAAGCTTTTGGAAAATCAGTCAACTTCCATGAGTCTTAAATTCTTTATATTGAAAAGTGTTTCATTTGGACAAGATCAGTGTGATGGACCCTCTCCTCGTGGAAAAAAAAATATATATATATATGATTGCATATAGTTGTAAAGGTGCCAATAGCTTATGCACTGTTAGGATATAATATTAGATTGTATATGTTTATGGTTCTTTGAATGTAGACATTTATGAAACAAAATAAAATTAGTCAACAATTAATGTTAATAAAATAATATTGTGCTTTTGCTCCTAGGAAAATACAATTTATATGTCTTCCATGTCTTAGATACAACCGTATTTAAGAGCGTGTTTTTTTGTTTGTTTATTTGTTTGTGTAATAGGACCCACACAAAATAAACTTCGGCAAGCCAGGGTGGAAACCATAAGCAGTGATGTGTGTAACAGAAAGGATGTGTATGATGGTCTGATCACTTCAGGAATGTTATGTGCTGGATTCATGGAAGGAAAAGTAGACGCATGTAAGGTATGTCCAAAGTCAGGTCAAAACATTGAAAGAAAAGTTTCTATTAGCTATTTCTAAATTTGGCATATATTTCACTTGAGATTAAAAAAAAGCATTTATTTCACTAAGGACTCAGTTTATTTAATAATCATGATAACAAACATTATGATATTGAATGTTTACTGTGTGCCAACCAAAATACTTAGCACTTTTTATACATTGTTTTATTTAATATAAAATTTAACCAGTGCTATAATTATATTATAAACTAGAGGCTTGGTGCACAAAATTCCTGCAGCGGGAGGGGAGTCCCTCAGCCCAGCCTGCACCCTCTCTCGCAATCTGGGACCGCTGGCTCCTAACCCCTTGCCTGCCTACCTCCCTAATTGCCCCTAACCACTCTGCCTGCCTGCCTGATCATCCCTAACTGCTCACCTGCCTGACTGCCTTATCACCCCTAACCACTCTGCCTGCCTGCCTGATTGCCCCTAACCTCCTCTGCCTCGGCCCCCTCCACCAAGGCTTCATCTGGAAGGAGGTCTGGAAGGTTGTTCAGCTGTCTGGTCTAATTAGCATATTATGCTTTTATTATTATAGATTAGGAAATTGAAGTTTGTTGCTTCTATTTCTGGTTCACACAATTTTCTCTGGTTATGTTCTTAAACAAAATTAAAAACAAAAAGACACAGAAACTTCTCTGAAGACCACGTTATTCAGCTCTCTCATCTCTCATCTATCTTGTTTCATCCCCCACCTCTGAGTCTCTCTCCTTTGTCTCATTCTTTAATAATTTTGACTCCTGAAACAGGTTTCCTCTCCATCCCAACCCCTGCAGTATTAACACTGATCCATTTGAATGCTGGACCTTAGTTCCTAAATCTCCTAATTTCCAGTGAGCTTCACCCTTTTCCAGCCACATCTTGAATCTTGTCACCAAAAACTGTTCCATCTACATAAAAAAAAATTCTCAAAATCTTCCTTTTTTGCACCTCTCCCCAATCCTTTCTGCCTGCTTTTCAACTATTCCTGTCCCCTTGGCCACAACTCTCTGTGTTACACCCCAACCTACCAACCCTTATCTGCAAACACACACAACCTACACATGTTCTTTGTGTACCTTCTCTGTTTTATATTTATCTTTAGCTTTTATCATCATTCAATACACAATATATTATATTTAGCTGGTTTATTATCTGTCTCTTCCACTAAACTAGAATATAAGCTCCATGAAGGCACAGAATTTGGGGGGGGGTATTTTTAAAAAAATATATTTTTATTGATTTCAGAAAGGAAGAAAGAGGGAGAGATAGATAGAAACATCAATGATGAGAGAGAATCATTGATTGGCTGGCTCCTGCACACCCCACATTGGGGATCGAGCCTGCAACCTGGGCATGTGCCCTGACCGAGAATCAAACTGTGACCTCCTGGTTCATAGGTCAACGCTCAATCCCTGAGCCAAGCTGGCCAGGATAGGGAGTCTATGTTGTTTACTGCTCTATTATCAACACCTAAAACAGTGCCTGGCATAAATATTTGTTAGTTGAGCAAAATATTTCATTTCTTCAACTTTATAGAGACCTATAGACCATTGCTTCTCTATCTCATAGTTAATAAATTCTTTAATTTCTTCCATCATCCATTTGTCCAGCTTAGACTTTATTCTCTCTCATTTTTATTTTTATTGTTTTATTTTATATATATCATTTTCTTAAAGCAATTTTGCTAATACCCCAAGCTCACTTATTGCTCTGTTTCCAGTGTTTCTGTCTGACAAAGTCCCAAACCTGGAAGAACTCAACTATTCAATCTCTTTCTCTTTGCCTTAAAGTGGGAGGTCAAATGTTCCTGGAAAAATATATAACAACACATTAGTTTCACTAAAGGTTCTAGATTAAAAAAAAAACACAAAAAAACTTACAATTTTACTGTTTGTTCCTTTTTTCCAAATCTCCTTTTTCTGAATTCTCTCAACAGTTTCCACATTCTTCAGCTTCTGTTTTTACTTTCTACTAGAGGCCCAGTGCACGAATTCGTGCTCAGGTGGGGTCGGCTGGTGATCGGGGGCCGATTGGGGTGGGCCAGCTGGGGGGAAGGACCGCAGGAGGTTGGCCGACCATGGGAGGTTGGCTGTGGGAGTGCACTGTCCATCAGGGGACAGCTCCTGCATTGAGCATCTTCCCCCTGGTGGTTAGTGCGAATCATAGCTACTAGCCAGTCGAAATGGTTGCTTAGGCTTATATATATATATATATACTAGAGGCCTGGTGCACAATTTTGTGCACCAGTGGGGGGTCCCTCTATCTGGCCTGCGGGAAGGGGTTGAAACTGGCTCTCCAACATCCCCCAAGGGGTCGAGAATTGTGAGAGGGCACAGGCCAGGCTGAGGGACCCCACTGGTGCGCAATCAGAGCCAGAAAGGGATGTGGGAGGTTGGTCAGCTGGGGAAGGACTGTGGGAGGGCTACAGGGTATGTCCGGCTCATCTCGCTCAGTCAAAATTGGCCAGACCCCAGCAGCAAGCTAACCTACTGGTTGGAGCGTCTGCCCCCTGGTGGTCAGTGCACGTCATAGCGACTGGTCAACTAATCGACTGTCTACCCCCGGTGGTCAGTGCATGTCATAGTGAGCGGTTGAGCGGCCTTAGCATATCATTAGCATATTATGCTTTGATTGGTTGAACAGCCGACCGGACGACTGGACACTTAACATATTAGGCTTTTATTATATAGGACTAGGGGCCCAGTGCATGAATTCGTGCACCTTGAAAAGAACTGTGGGCCACTAGGCTGCAGTGGGCACAGGGGCGGGTCTTGGCCCATCCTCTGCGTCCCCGCCTGGCCCCTCCTGCCACGGTCCCCTGGCTCCTGTCTGCCTGCAGCCCTGCTCCCGCCACCACTGCTCCCATGTGCTGACAGCGCCAGCCCCATTTGCACCTGCTGAGGGTGCAGTGATTGGGGACAGTGCTGGGTGCTGGCAGCAGGTGCGAGCAGGGCCAGTGCTGGCAGAAGGTGCGAGCACTTGGTGGGACTGCGGCACATGAGAGCAAAGATTCAGTAACCACCTCCAGAGGCTCACCCTGATGACAGCAACTGGCAGGCCCTGCCTTGGTCTGGCGCCCCCACTCACCTGCTTCACCATCCCACTATAGCTGATGCCCGCCATGTTCCACGCGTGCCCCCTGGTGGTCAGCACACATCATAGTGACCGGTTGTTCGGTTGTTCTGCCGTTTGGTCTATTTGTATATTAGGGTTTTATATATATATAGATAGATCCCTTTATTCTGAACTGATGATTTTGTTTCCCAATTTTCAAAGAAAATAATAATCTTAAGAGGGGACTTTTTTCATCTTCCCGGCACCAGACATACAGACCTGCCTTCATCTGGACCCATTTTATTCACCTTCAGTTTAGGCCACAACAGAGGAGCTACCTCTTCTCTAAGGCTGATTACTTCTCTGCTCAGACTTCTCTTCTTATTGGCATTTTGAAAAAGTTTTCTGTAGCTATTATGTCCTCTCACTCCTTTCATAGTCCACATTTCTTTTGTAACCAGATCCTTCCCCATTCAGTTCTCTCAAGTTAGGAAAAAAACAAACAACTCTTTCTTGGCCCATAATGTACCCTGTCTTCCCTTTACCATCAAATATTTGGGAAACTGGCTATATGCATTGTCTAATTTCTCAAACCATTTCTATATGGTTTCTGTTCTATCACTTCATGAAAAAATAGCTCTTCTTGAGGTTTTCAATGATGCACCAAACATCTCCAACAAATGATTTTTAGTCTTTTTCTTCTCTTAAACCTCTCAACAGCATTTAACAATGCTAACAAATCCCTCTTTCCTGACATATTGTCTTCCTTTGACTTGTAATGATTTTAATCCTACATCTCTGTCTGCTCCTTCTCTGTATCTTTTTCAGGATCATTCTCTTAATCCCAGACATTAAATTTTGGTCTATTTTATACCTGTTCCTCTTTTTACCCTATACTTTCTCTGTGGAAGATCTATTTATCTTTCCACCATAGCTTCATTATCATCTTTTTACTTTTAGGTCTCCAACTTCCCCTTTGATCTCCAGACTTATATATTTCCTCAACCACCACTTTTATCTCTAGGCTTACACAAGGGTGGGCAAAAAAGTAGGTTTATAGTTGTGAGTACATGAAAGAGTTTATTCTTGTATTATTACTTATTATATTATTTATTTATATTATTTGTCTTCTTATTCTTATTGTTATTATTCATATCCTTACTTATTATTTATCTTTTAGGTAATGATGGCTGGTAATTTAACCAATGACCAATGAAAGTGGATACTTAAATAATACCTACTTTTGCCCAACCCTATAGATTCTACTCCACATGGATATTTCAAAGGCATCTCATTTAAAATGTTGCACCTGATTCTGCTCTTATTCCCCTCTCCATCTGATCTTTTCCTATGCTTTGTACTTCTATGAATGGCATTCCCTTTCATTCTGTTAAACAAGCCATTCCAACTTTCCTTATCCTTTATCTATGCACAAATACTAACCTCTTATTAAATATTTTATGCACATGCTTACTAAACCATGCATAAAATATCTAATCAAACTAGCAAAAAAATCCAAGGATGCTGAACCAGAAACAATGTATCCACTCCATATGAATGTTAGTCTTTCTAGAAAACAATGTGCTTGAAATTTTAGCATTTTCTTTGTACCAATTTCTTTTTTTTCTCCGTGTGGAAAAGAAATGATTGCAATGACCTTCCTACTCAATTAGAGTTAACAATTTTAAATATGTTTTTGTTTTTCTCCAGGGTGATTCTGGTGGACCTCTGGTTTATGATAATCATGACATCTGGTACCTTATTGGTATAGTAAGTTGGGGACAATCATGTGCTCTTCCCAAAAAACCTGGGGTCTACACAAAAGTGACTCAGTATCGAAACTGGATTGCCTCAAAGACTGGTATCTAGTGTGAATTGTCCGTGAATTATATCCATGGCACACAAAACTGAAACTCCTGCATATTGTATATTATTTATATTTATGTGGTTTGGATCAGTGCTTTTGCTGGAGGTCTCAGACCAATCCTTTGTGATTGAACTCTCTACTCTAAGGGAAGAAGACACAGCAAATGACAGGTAGCACTGACTCCTTGCTCACAAGGGAAACTGTGTTACTTATTAACAAGATGAATACTTTTAAATGGTTTTCCTCAATGGAAGATGAGGACCATCATTTTCCACCGGATATGAAGAGCTGCCAGGGCTGCCAAAATCTTACTTCATATAACATTTGGAGCACTTAGGATTCTTCTAGCAAAACAAGTCAAACAACACTCTTCCCTGAGGACTCAGGGCTTCAATATTCTGGCACTGATGACTGGACACTCAATGGCTGGAATGGAGAAGCGGGATTTGCAATATAACTTGAACTCTATCTTGGGTTTATAAATTACAATGGAGAATTATTATTAACCACAAGAGTTGTCATTTTAAAAATGTTAAAAGGTATCTGAACTTGCTGTTAACATTATTTTAAACACAAGAGCACTAGCTTCAGGATGCATATTGTATTGTTAATAAGCAATTCTGTTTTATTTTTTAACAGCACCATCAGTTAGTATTAGGCCAGAAAGGAGAATAAAATAGACTTTTGGGAATATTTTCCCATCAATACAGGAAGATAAAAAGAATTGATGCAACCTAGGCTAGCAGAGTTGGTTTCAAATTATTTGTAATAGGACAAACACTCCAGATTTTTTATGGAATGAACTATCCACTTATTTATTTAGAAGTATCTACATCACTGTATTGTAACTAGTGCTCTTGTAAGTCTTCAGCCATCTGACAGGTCATAAGTCTATCAGAATGTCAGGTTGAGAGAGCTTACTTGTGCAAAGCACTTAGGACAGTGCCTGGTGTATATCATGCACTATAAAAATGTTTGCTATAATGGAAAGGAATGCTTCTGTGAGTTTTAAGATAAATTAACCTAAGTTGTCAAATGAGTGAATGACTTTGAGGCTTAAATCAGCCCAAAATCTAATGGGAAAGAGCACAGTCTTTGGAATTAGGCTGCCTGAGCTTGAATATTGGCTGTGCCTCATATGAGCTGTTTGTCATTATACAGGTTTCTTAACGTCACTGTGCATTAGTGCTCTCACCTTTATGGTGGAAGTAAAAATGGTGCCTACTCACATGATTGTTAGGAGAATTAAATGCACTAATATGAGTAAAGAAAGCTCTTGGAACAGTATCTGCACACAGTAGGCCAATAATATGGACTGCTATGAATTAGTGTGCTTTGAACTCAATAAAACAATATACTTTTAAAAAAACTGTCCCTTGCTTCTTTAAAGTCATGTAATCAATTTCGGAATACTTTAAATTACATTGTAAAAATATTAGGTGATGCTAGATTTTCAAAACCACTCTTTATGTCTAATATATTTTGCACGATGTCTACAAGCAGACATCGTTCAAAATATAGGAGGCATAGCCACCTGGCTTCAGGGTTGTGACTACAGTGATGCAGCTGTATTCATTTTCAGGCCTTGCTGCAAGAACTCAAGTACTAGATGTGCTGCTCTGATTTATCAGGGGAAAATTTAGCCTCTCTGTTTCTTTAGTGACTGAAAGTTTTGTTAATTTATGTGTATGTGTTTATATGTAATATATGTAATCAAGATGTATCTAACTGAAAAAATCTCCTAGTTATTTATACCTCAATATTAAGATATATCATGAACAGAAAAGGATCATGCACACACGCTTTCCTTTTAAAAAGAAACTGACACCAAATTTCTGAGTTGATGACTACTAATAACTATCAATAGAAAAAGCAAAGTGAAAACTTAAATCTTTACACTTCTTTCTATATGCAGAGAAACACCCAAAGCTTCCTGGAGAATATTTAGCATATTCAAGATGTGCTTGATTGACGATAGACCTTTTTTATTAATGCTAAACACAGCCTTTGGTAGAAACAGGAAAACAAATCTGTCTACAAAAAAAAATTATTTTCTACTATGTAAGTTCTATTATAATGGATATGTGCTTTTGTGTAACTATATTTATATTTCAGAAAACTGTGATAACTTTTTGCATATGTGTCTGTGAAATTATATATACTGATTTAAATAATTCTATATTCAATTCAATTCAATGACATTTTGACACAAGTGAAAGGAATAAATCTAAAAGTCTATAAACAAATTTAAGAAATAGAAAAGTGGATTTTAAAGCAGAATTTATATGTACTATTTCTAGTTTGATTAAGTCTGACCTATTGTATGGTGTTATAGTAATTACGCAATAATAGCTTTTCCTCAGGTTTTCCATCTACCGAATGGGACATACATTGAGCTAGCTACCTCTTGGCATTATTGTGAGGCTTTCCTGTTGGATAATAAAGTTGAAAAGTCAAAGAATGTTTAAAACTTGCTCAAAAAAGTACAAAATATATTATTGTAAACATATCGGTACAGATGCTGCTGCAAATGCTTTAAGATTGTAAAGAAATTTTTTTATTACAGTGTTAGCATTTTTATTTATCAATACTCTTGCTTTGTGAGTTTTGCAAATATATTGTGGTTAAAAACACAAAAACCTGGGCTTTGCATCTTATACTGTGAATGCTCTAATAATATTTACATATTTTAATAGAAAAAAAGCTTTTAATTTGTCTGACTCCCTGTTTTAAAAGACAGGTCAAATTCATTAGGCAGACAGTAAACACTACAGCACATAATCTCTGTGGGATCTTGATGGAATTTAGGGTGCCATGAGAAAGAACTAAAGGTTCGTTTTTAATGCTAGATAGAACAAGATTGAACCAAAATTTTTACAAATGCTTAATCATATTCTCTCAGTGAAATCTTCATAATTCAACAATAAGAACAAAAACATATCAACAGGAATCTACCCTTTTGAGAATAAAGTTGTTGCTTTGTTAGTATATTTATTTGACAGAGAGGAAATGTATGGGAGGCATTCCTTCATGCAATCATGGAAATGGAAAATAAACTTGTTACAAATTATTGAAACTAAAGCTAGAATTATAGCTGTTAAAACCTGGAAGGACCTAAGAGATTATCTACAGCAATGGTCACACCACTTTTTTTGACTGATGTGAAATCAAAGCCAAGAGAATTTTTCCAAGTTATACAGTAGGTCATAGCCAGTGTAGAAACTTAACCCAGGAGACCCTTGTGTCCAGTGTAGCTATCTCTCCATCACTCTAATCCAAGGTATTCAGGTTCATTAGCCAGAACACTGCAATTCTAGAAGTCACTGGAATTAAATGTTTGTTACTAAACCAAGGTTTCTTCTTGCAAAAATATGAGGTAAAATGGTGTTCAGCAAAGTATATCAATGGACAAAACCAGTTTTACAATTTAGACAATGATACAACACTATAGCCAACTATCCCTAAGGAAATGAAGGATGATTTAAATGTAGGAAAGCTGCAGAGCCAGTTAAATTCGCATGTCAGAATACTCCATACTTTTGTAAATGTTTACAAAGAAACTTCTTTTACAGGTTTGAATATTTTCCATTCCCAAAAGTTTTAATTATGACTAATAAGAAGCGAGAGAAATGCAATCACATCACACAATTTAAAAGATAAATATTCCTTTTCTCTAAATTGTTCTCAGTCTGCCAAATGGAAAATTAATCTATCAACCTCATGATGTTGTAAGGCTTTTCTGCTAATTAATAAAGAACAAAAGCCAGAGAAGGTTTCAAACCGGTTTGAAAGTGCAAAGTATATTACTGTAAACTCAGCTGATGCTGCACATGCACTAGGATTGTCATTAAGTTTTCATAGTGATGGTTATTTTCATTTATCTGTAGTATTGCTTCGTGCATTTTGCAAATACTACTGTTTTGTTGAAATTATATTTAGCATTCTCTCAAAAGAAATAATATTTAATATAGCTTGTGTGGTCAATATTAATTTATTTAAAAAGAAAAATGCCAGGCAAATCAGTTTTGTTCATTTGATAGCTTTAAGAATATATATAATTCAAATTCATTTTATTTAAAGCATATTTTACTATAGCATCTGGGAAAACTCTGTAATCAATCTACTAGGAATGTTTTTATAGCTATTCTATAGCTGACAGTGGAAAATATCAAAAGCAGTCCAAACTCATCATTTAACATATATTTTAAAGACTCTGCTTAGTAATATTTTAATTTATATTCTGAATTATTAAAGGTTTTAAACTTAAGTCACAGAGCTATGCAATAGTGAGTATGCTACCCAGATAGCATGGATTTCCTGTGAATTTTTATAGATTTTGTTTCCCAGTCAGATTTTGTGTGCCAACTTTTACTTAAAAAAATGTAGTCTTGTAGATAAAAAGATTATCCTGTTAGGTCTTCCTTCTCTCTACTTCTAAACTCTAAAAGATGTTTGGATGACCACCTTTTAAATATTTTCAGGAAGAGAAAATTCATAAATGCCTAGGATTGCCTTCCGAATGGTTTTAATAACTGCCCTTTGTCTGTATTCAAAACAAGTACCTTTTCTTATTATCAAGCTTGTATCTTCCTGTTTAGATCTAGGTGGAAATTATAGAATTTGGGGTGAGCCACTCTGGCTGAGCAGGGGGATAATTTTTTAAATCCACTTGTGTTTGTGACAATCTTTAGGGATGAGGTTTAGGAAGTTGAATGAACAGTCTGAGGTGCACCATGAAAAAGAGTGGAGAGGAGAAATAAATAGAGTCTAAAAGTAAAAAAGAAGTCATTGGAAAGACAAATATTAAACCACAGCTACTTGACAAAAGTTTCATAAAATATAGATGGACCACAGAATAAAAATAATTGTTTTAAGTAAAGGAAATGGATTATTAATTTATCTCCATTAAAAACAAACAAACAACAGGAACATCATAATTAATACTTTTTCAGAAGGAGAGCACACACAATTGCATCAACATAATTATTTTATCTTCCAATCCTTGTATATACTCATGCATATATTTTATAAAGTTGACATAATTACATATATAAAATTATGTATTTCTTTATCTGAGATTACCTTAGATTTTTTCAATAACTATGTGTTTTATATAACCATAATTTTTAATGACTACCTTTGACTTGATACATCAAATAGTTATGCTACATAGACTGTGACCAGAACACTAGGCTAACCTGATATCAACTAAATTTTATACCAGGGTCATAATCCATAAAGTATGTCATCATCCCTTCCATGCTCCATGAACCTTCTAGAAACTCACCAAATAAAAAGCCCCTGTTATCACCTATACTTTCCTGAACTTTACTTCTTTCCCACAGTGACTATGGTTTCTTCTCCTTCTCCTCATACTGCTTTTTGTCTTCCCTGTTGGTTTAACATCTCTCTACTTCTTTCTCAGCTGGTTCCACTGAATCCTCCTTGCTTTTTTAAATTAAAATGTTCCTATGCCCCCAATCTCTTCACAGAATGCTCCCTCCCCATCTTACTAAAGTCTGGATATCCAGATCTAAAGCACACCTTCATTGTAGCCCTCTCAAGCGATTGCTCTTTCTCCCGGATTCTAATATTGAGTGAGAATTCTTCTAACTCTTAAATAAAAGCTTCCAAATATGTGTGTAGTCTCCCAACAATTATTGTTGCACACTAGTATAAAATATATACTGTTTTAGTACAAAGGCTCATGCCTGTAGCTATACCACACATTGCCCCTCCTAATTACTGTCAATCTCTTGATCACTCCCCACATTTATTGAGGTACTAGTCACTTGCTCAAAATAGACCTCTCTACCTAACTTTATCTTCATTGTGGTCAATTTCAACATCTAAGTGGATGAATCACACCTAGCTTCAATTCTTTGAACTCATAAATCACAATGACTTAAACTTCTATTCCACTCCCAACATCTCCAGTCTGGACTGTTGAAAGAATCTCAAAATGATCTTCCTTCTATTAATCTTGATGCCCTCTAGTCCATTATCCTGAACTTGTTTCAAATAACTCTAATTTATCCACCTCTTACAGAAGAGATACTTAATCTAGAGTCCAACAGGAAAAAAAATTCATCTTTATTTTCACTAACTTTTGAAAGAAATCTACTATTTTATTACATTATAAAATAGGCAGAAAAAAACCCCATAACATAAGCTGTATTACTGATTTTGTGATCAAGAGAAATCATAGATATTTTTATTTTATTTAAAAGTTACATATGTGTAAAATATATTTATACTCACCACAACTTTGAAATTATATTATTAGGTTCATTGCTATATGATGTTATCTAATGTTAATAGAGAATCATACTTATTACTAAACCACAAATTTAAAAAATATTTTTATACCTATATTGTGATATGTTGATTTATGTATATTTCTACATATTCTATTTTATGAATTAAAAAACATTATTATAGAAGGCTCCTGTAGTCTTCACTAGATAGCCACAGATGGCCATGATCATGACACATAGACACACACACATACACAAATCAAGAGTCTTTGACCTTTAGGGTAAAGACAAAAACCTATTTTCTTGATGCACAAAAATTTCATGATTATCCTCTTCCTATTTCCATTTTAACCTCCTGCCTTGGGTTCTTCCATTTTGCCATTATTCAGTTTAGTTTTTAAAGAAGTATATCTAGCACTCTAAACACACTGTGAAGTCTCATGCACAAAAGGATCCTGTTGTGTAGAAGCTCTTCTCTCCTTATCACTTCAGCAAGTTAGCTTTTTTAAAAAAAATGGTATATTTTTTTTTGGCAAAAAACTTTTTTTTTTTTCAAAACAAAAGAGGGACTGAATCTGAATCTGAATGTTGATGGTCAAATCGACTGAAAGTCAAGTGTTGAATGCAAAGTGTTCGCATAGGTTCTGGTATGTGCATTTAGTAAAAGACATCACAGCTTCTGGCCATCACAGTTTCACTATCTAACATGAGGAATGGGTCTACAAACCTAAAAGTAAGCAAAGCTAAAACTGGATTCCTGCTTGAAGGGAAAGCATGGGTTGTTTAGATAGTGTGAAAGCTGGGAAATTAAAGGGAAACATCCTGGAGGAATTATCTTTAGAATCTATGTACCCTGTGTAGACAAGTCTGATTAAATGACTTGAATCTTACACTGAGGTGGACTTGGAATTGAGAACTATGCTATAAAGAAGGGAAATGATATTTTAGACACATGGGCAAAGACACAATGGGAAGGAAAGGACTGGATTGACAGAAAATTCAAGCTCAGAGAAGGTAGACATGACTACGACTACAAAGGAGAACACATGGAGAGGAGACAATCAGCAGTAAAGCCCTTTACAATGGCAGCTGGCACAAATATATTTTAATTTTCCCTCCTTCAAGCCAGATTCCCCTTTAGAGTAGATGCAAATGAATTACTGAGCCAGACATGATGAGTACATGTATCATTGCACTAAGAAAGGCAAGTCGAGGGTGTCAAATGCTCTAGAAAAGTCCTAATGTTGCCTCTGAAAGAGATGAATGGCAGGGCCTGAAGACCAGGCTTGTCCTGACTCAGACAAAGAGTGCCACCTCTGGAAAGCCAAGCACAAAACCATGCAAAGTATTCAAGGGTGTTGCTTAGGTTTTGAATATGGTACTGTTTCTCCACTTAATTAGCCAGAACCAGGAAATTTTTCCTGCAATAAAGACAAGCGATTCTTCACCTCAAACCATAGTATTGGTTAAAGTTTACCCATCCCAACTTGTCAAACTTGTTTATTTTAAATCCTTAAGCATTCTTTCTTTAGTCAGCGTACAGGTCTGAAAGAATGCCAGGATGCTATTCATTTGACGAGAAATCACAAAGCAGCACGGAGGTGGAGGAGTGTGCATTCTCAACAGTGTATGATGTATCAGTAAGTTTAACTTTATTTCATGTTTAAAAAGATTCATTTCAGATCGTGGTTTCCAATTCAGGCAATTATTCTGAATTGGAAATTTAAAGGTGTTTTTTTTTTTCTTTCCCTACTGTTGTTGGAGAAAATAATAATAGTAATGCTAATACTATTTATTTTAGGAAACCATGCTAACAATTTAATATTTAGGATTTAAAAGGTTTAATGGGTTGGATTTTAATTGCAAAGTTTAATGTAATAATAAGATCATCACAGAGAGGGAGGAAAAACAGAGAGCCTAAGGTACAATATTATAAATTTGTAGCAGTGGAAGGATAGGGCATGGAAGAAAGTGTCTTCTCACTCTCAGTTCAGAGTTTAGAATGTATAATTGTATTTTTAATCTTCCCAAATTATGCATTTAATTGATACACTGAAAATAGAAGAAATACACAAATTGCGTAAGAAGTATTGTATTTTAACTCCTATTTTGAAATTAATAAATACAAGTAAAATTCCAAAAAAATAAATACAAAATATAATGTCCTTTGAGACATTCCTTTTCTCTTCAAATAAAATTTTAAAAAACAATAGAACAATCGGTACATCAGAATGCAAAACTGAGAAGCAAATAAATTATCATAAAAATTTTGTATTTTAGTAGACTTGGATGTCTATAGAAATGAAAGTGACATAAAGGTAGAGAAATAGAAAAATAGCCTGAAATAAAAATCTGGGGAAAACAGAAGACCTACATCTGGGAATAGTCCAAGAAACCATTTAGGTCTCTTCATTCCTATTTCTTTCTATTTTCAAGATTTTCAAAATTGTCCTCTCCAGGTCTGAAATCTGTAAAAAGTCTACAGTTCCATTCCATATCAAGATAAATCAGTATGACTACTTTATAATTTTTTGCTCTGGTTTTCCATGGCTTTGTGGCTTAGAGGGATAGTAAGGGGTGAGAGTGGAGGGGTGGGTGGGGAGATGCTGTTGAAAAACAATCCCTACTTTTCCCATTGATAATTGATGTCTAAGGTAATTAAGTCAGAAGGTTTTCTCTATTTGAAATACACAAATGAAACTTTATTAGTTTTTGTCACCTGGAGGTAATGTGAAGAAAATATATTTTATTCTTTGTTGTACATGCCAGTATCTAGTAGAATGCTTGGCAAAAGCATATTAATTGAACCATTTAATTGTTCTTCAAATGTATTTGGTACCAACTAATTTCCAGCTAACAACTCATCAATTTGATTTAACTGGATTTCATGTCATCTTTAAAGCCTTTTTTTTTACACTGAAGTAGTTTGTTTACTTTTCTAGTAAGCCACTCTGTATTTAGATATCATAATATAAACAGGTATAACATTAAGTCCTTGTTTTCTTTCCAAAAAATGATTGCTTGGAGATTGCTTGGATTATTCCATTCCTTCAATGAGATTCTGAATAATTTTAAATTCCTCTTTACCTCACACAAAAATATTAGTCTTTTTTATTGAGATATAATTGATGCATATTTACATTAGTTTCAGGTGTACAGCATAATGCTTCAGTATTTGTATATATTGTGAAATGATCACCACAGAAAGTCTAGTTAACATCTGTCACCAAACTTAGTAACAAATTCTTTTTCTTGTGTTAGGAACTACTCTCTTAGAAATTTTCAAATGTACAATACATTTAGTAACTATAGTCACCATGCTGTACATTATATCTCCATGACATTTATTTTATGACTAGGGCCCAGTGCACGAATTTGTGCCCCTTAAAAGGAAATGTGGGCCACGAGGTTGTGGTGGGCACAGGGGGAAGGTCTTGGTCCATCCTCCATACCCCCACCCGGCCCCTCTCACTGTGGCCCCCAGTCCCCTCTCTGCTGGCAGCCCTGTTCCCTCCACCTCCACTCCCATGCGCTGATGGCACCGGCCCCACTTGCACCCACTGAGAGCATGGAGCGATTGGGACCGGTGCCAGCAGCAGGTGTGACAGCAGCTGCCTACCCCAATCGCACCTCAGGAGCATGGGGAGGTGGAAAAGCCCTCAGAGGCAATCAGGACCAGAGCCAGGTGCTGACGGCGGGTGCGAGTGGTGGCCAGTGTTGGCAGCAGGTGCGAGAGGCGGCTGCTGGCCCCGATTGCCCCTCAGAAGCAGGGGAAGGTGGAGAAGCCCTGAGGGGCGATCAGGGCCAGCAGCCACCTCTCATACCCGCTGATGGCACTGAGTGATCAGGGCCAGTGCCAGGCGCTGACAGCAGGTACAAGCGGCACTGGCAGTGTGTGTGAGTGGCAGCACCGGCACCAGCAGCAGGTGTGAGCACTGGGTGGGACCACGGTGCCTGAGAACAAAGAATTTTCAGTAACCACCAGAGGCTTGCCCCGATGACAGTGACCGGTGCCCCGCCTTGGTCTGAAGCCCCCATTCACCTGCTCCACCATCCTGCTGCAGCCAATGCCCACATGTTCTTCGCTCTGCCCCCTGCTGCCAATGCCCGCCATGTTCCACATGTGCCCCCTTGTGGTCAGTGCACATCATAGCGACTGGTTGTTCGGTTATTCCACCGTTTGGTCTATTTGCATATTAGGGCTTTATATATATATAGACTAGAGGCCCAGCATGGGTAGGGTCCCTAGGTCTAGACTTCTGCAATCAGGGCCGTCTTCTGCCCGTTCACCAGTCCCCAGGCCGAAAGCTGCCTCTGCTGCCGGGCTGTCAGGCCGTTGGGATTACCAGCTCATCCCTGGCTGCTCGGCTGCTCGGGGGCTCAGGCCTGCAGGAAAGCATGCGCCAGCGACTTCACCTCCATGCGTGTGCACTGGGCTGCCGCTGATGGAATGTGCTGTCCGCTCAGGGCTGCTCACACAGGTGCCGCTGCCACTGCCACTGGTGCTGGGGTTTGAGGCGCTGACGGAAGCTGCGGGGTGTGCCCATGACCTACCCACCCCGGCGTGAGCAGCCCCAAGCGGGCAGTGCGTTCCATCAGCAGCCGGCCGGCTCACAGGCATGGAAGTGAAGTTAGCGGCACCTGCTTTCCCGCGGGCCTGAGCCCCTGAGCAGCTGGGGATGAGCTGGTGATCCCAACGGCCTAACAGCCAGCCCAGTCCTCCTGCCACCCATCCCAATTCTTCTGTTCACCATTGCTGATCCATCTGAGCCTGCGGGCAGGGGGCAGGGACCAAAGTCAATGCACTTCATGGTGACCAGTCATTTGGTCATCCTGGTTGTCACAGACACTGGCTTTTTATATATATAGATTGGAAGTTTGTACCTTTTGACCACCTTCATTCTTTTTGCCCAACTACCCACCCCAGCTCTGGCACCACCTAGAGTCTTTTTCATATAGTAACACCCATTAGTGAATTTTAAGCTATTTCCCACATTGTTAAAACAAGTTTGAGAGGTATAACAAAAGGACTATGTCAAGTGAAAAATAAAGAAAAAATAAAATAAATATTCAATTATAATAAAATAAATCATTAGGGTCTAATGATTTTTATTTTTAAACCAAACTTGTCATTTAAATGACAGGCCATACTCATTTTCTGTAATAGAGCCTTGGGCTCTAGGAGTTCAGCACTGACAATGTAGGACTAGATACAAAAAAATACAGATGGCTCTTAAAAAGAGTACCTCTGAAATAGCATAATTCCAAGTTTAAAAATGCAATGCAAGCTTTATCAGAACATATACATACATATTATGCATATATGCAAATATACATATATACATATACATATTCATATTCTATCATATATTTTTTAAAAATAAGATTAGCAAGATACAGACATATCTGTTTTATATATGGCTAAATATTTTTACAGGAAAATGTTATGATAGATTATCTTTAATTTAAAACTGTTCTTTTCTAGTTTTCAATCTTGATAAATTTGTAAACAACACATTAATAATGAACACCCTTCTGGCTAATTTTTAGCACACATTCAAAATTCTAAAATTCTTTCTTTAGGATAAATTGTTTTCTATACTTTCACATTTTCTGGAATACCATCTCACGATTAACAAAATACTCTATATCCTAAACTTCTTTTTCCTGAATATTCCCTATATACCTAGAAAATTAAAATACAGGTATTTTTTTCTCACAACATAGCATTTTTACACCCTATTATTGAAGATTTAGTCTTTGCCCTTTCACTCCCTAATGCCACTTCAGACCATTACTCTCTATACCTTTGTAAATTGCTTTGTTCTTTTGAGGCTTGAACAGTTCTGCTCTCCACCCTCTTTTCTTCCTCATCACTGTCCTATGGACCCATGATTATGCCATGATTTATGAAAGACTGACACTGCTTCCCTATCTCCTTCTGTAATCCAAGTCCTAGGTTTACCCCATGTAGTATCAGTGCCCAGGTGGTTGATCTTCAACATCCTACTCATCTATTTCCTTGATCTTCTCATCTCTATAATTCTCTCCAAATATTACTTTCATGTCCACACCTTAGACTTTGTCATAACTTGAAATTACTCTCTCTGAATCATAACTTTAGACAACTAACACTATTTTAAACTTCCTTCTCACAGACTCAGTTGCTTTTAATGCATAATTTTAAAAAAAACATTAGCTCCACTCCATGAATTCTTCATATCCATCAGTTGTCATCCCCATCAAACACACACACACACACACACACTCACTCACTCAGCTTTGTTTCTGTTATGATCCTTAATTTCAACATTTTTTTTGAATTTTGTCTTAAACTCCACTAAATTTTTTTATCCCTTATTTCTTTCATCATTTATACCTGAATAAATTCTAAAGAGAATACAGCTGTCTGAACAATGACCACCCTCTGCCCAGACCACTGAAGAATGCTACAGAAAATCTCTCAAATGTGCTGGAAGTGCCAGTTCATTTGAACTCTCAACTCTTACCGCTATTCCTACTATATCATCTTAGTTAATATTCCAATTTTTCACAATGATTATTTTCAACTTCTCTAGCCTCCTCTAAGTTCCAAGTTCTCATCATGTGTCCTTTCCTGGTTTCAACTACTTCAAAGAGA